TTTTTTTTCTTATACATCAAGGCTAGTGAGCCACAAGTTAGCTGTAGCATTTATTTTTCTGTTTTGGTCAAGGAAAAAATCTCTTTAATGAAAAACAAAGCCTAAATGTCATGAAGGAGAGGTGCATTTTTGCTTGAGACATATCTTTATGTAGAAGCACTTTGTAGCTGCCAGAAATACAAAAAACATCTGGAACACACACACCGACGCACAAATCGACACACACATCCACAGACACACACAGAGACACACACAGAGACACACACACACACACACACACACACACACACACACACACACACACACACTAACACACCACCACACACACACACACACACACACACACACACACACACAAACAAACAAACACACACGCAATATCGAAAAACATAGAGAAACAGGAACGAATATCAAAGTTCATATAAATCAGGCAGTATCGAACGTATTAATAGATTACCACACTGCAAGAAAAGCAAACAGAAGCAAAAAAAAAGAAAAAATAATAATAAAAAAACAATACTAAAAGATCCAATTTGTGCGTCGCTAACGTCGAACCAAAAGACAGTTTCACTTGATCGGACTAACTACTTTTGTTGTTCACGCGAACGAAACAGCGAGCAGTAGTTCCACTGGGCAACCGGATGCATTAAATGTGGCTTCTGTCTTCGATAAGCTCCAACTTCAGCCAACACCCGTTGCACATCAGAACTGTGTTTCCAGTTATCCCTCCTATCTTTATCAAGAACTACAGAGTTTTTAGACTCAGCTATCAAAAACAATTTCGACAGCAAAGACTTCTCTATTTCTTGCTTCGACTCACTCACTTCCTCTATCTATATCTAAATACACATTAGTTAAACACTTTTTAACCTCAACTTTCTCTCTTTTGATAACTTAATATAACTTTTTTATTTTCAATTACTTCTCACTAAAAACGATGTCAGACGAAAATAAAGAACAAACACAAGGAAAAAAAGAATTTGGCAGGTTGTCATAGTAAAATGAAAACTGAGGAGGGAAAAAGCCGCAACCAGTTGACGTTCTACCTGGGCGGGGAGGGAAGGGGCAGACGGAGGATATAAAGAAGGAACAAAGGGAGTGGAAAATAATATACAAATATATAAGACAGAAAATAGTAAATACATTAAAGTGAAGATGTGATTTGCTTTCTTTTCTTTTCCTTTTTCTTTGCTTACGCTTTCTTTTTGTTCTAGTGTTTCTGTTGTTTTTTTTGGTTCAAATTTAATTTTACTTATTTGGCTTGCTCGAAATTACTATCTGTTTGGATTTTATACGTTGCCCAGATCGAAGTTCATCCGGTTATGTTTCCAGAGGAAACCTGAAACAGGTGTAACAGAAACATTGTGTTATTCACACAGTTACATGAACACATATACATACAACTCTTGTCACCGCTCTTATTATTCAGCATGCTTTTCCTGGGCTCTTGCAACTTGGTGTTTCTCTGTGTGTATCTTTTTACACATGAGGGTCAATTTTCGAAACTTCTTAGAGTGTTGACCTTAAGGTTCTGTCTTCATAACCGAAATATAAAGATGAGCATATCAAACAAAAGTGAAGTAACCATCAGATTTTCGTCGTTTCTTGTTCCGTAGAGCCGTCCCACCATCATAAGGAGGCTTATTCCTGCAAAAAAGTCACATTTACCTCCCATTTGAGTAGTGTTTCACAAATCACAATATCATTACTTTATAAAAATTTTATCATTTTTTCCTCTATTTCACTTTTTTATTTTACGCTCAAAATAACTGCAGAAGAGTTTTAATTTGTGACTATTGATATAATACCGGCATCCAATCTCAAAAGAAGTTTTGAAAAAATAGAAATTATAGTCAGTTTGTTACCTATTTTGTCCTAAAAGCCAACTTTTGAAAGTTGCGTCTAATTTGGTAGGGCTCTGTGTCACTCCGCCTTCAAACATTTCTACAGGACTCTTTCGCACTCTAAAAAAAGAAATTCTACTAATTAAGTCACTGAAATTTTCTTGCAAGATTTAGTTTTTTAGTTTTTTTAATGCCAATTGACAGATGTGAGCAGCCATTAACATCGACCGTTTATAATAGATGACAACAACATGCCTCCTTTTAACAAACCTAATTATGATGTTGTGAGGATAAAAACTGTGAATTAAAATCAAAATTAGAAGTACACCCACCGATCGTTGAAATCGTGCCATAAAGCTACAATCAGTTCTGTAGCAATAATATCTCCAGCGTGTGCGCTAATCATTCGCATGCAAAAAACTCCATCAAAACCGAGAAATTTGTGAACAAATTTTTTTACTGATTGCCGATCTGTGGCTAAATCAGTAGCCCGCAAATATTTTCTGATGAATCGCATATGCTTAAAATTAACGTTAATTTTTGCTGTTAAATAAGATAAACTGCCACTGGAATGTTACTGTAAGCAATGACAAAACTGAACAGTGACAAGGCTTAAACTTTTCTTCAGAAATACAATGATAGTATTTTTTTTCTGGCTGCGATGACTGTTTTCCAAAAAACAGATTGCTGCATTAAAAAATTGTAAGCAGTTACGATTTTCTTATAAAAATAAAAAACTTATTAAAATTCAGAATCAAAAAAAAATACTAAATACAATTAAAAACAATAAAATGTAACTAACTTGGCCAGGCAAAAATGAAATAAGAATCCAGTGAAACAAAGAAAAGGTAGTTATAATTGATACCAATACATACCAAAACCATAGAAATAAGAAAATTTTTTCATTAAACATGTTTATCATAAGTACACATTGCACCGTATGGTGATGTACGTTACCTAACACACGAACCTAAAATAGCTGTCAAGTTTGATAAGAACTGAAAATAATCTTTCTTCAGAAAAAAAAAACGCAAAGTTCCATAAATTCAAAAAAAATTACCAGAAATTAATATTTTGAATGAGAAGAGTCATTTTTTGCAGGAGAGCAGAAGTAAAAGTGTCAAGTTTCACTACATTATACACTTTTTTAAACAGTTTATTACTTGTCGCAAAGATGTAAAGTTTATTAAACACCTATTAAAAAAAAGCTTATAATCCGTTGACGAATTTAAGTATCTGTACGGTTATTGTTAAACTAGACTTATATGCATAAAAACAGAAAATAGGAATCTAACCTCAAAGTCGCACATGGTTACCCGCGGAAAATTACCACTCTTCTTCCACTCCTTGCCCTGCATTAAATCGGTTAATATGACAAAACCATAAAATACGTTGTTAGTGCCGAGAAACCAATTCAACAAAAATATTTGTCCAACTACGTTGGTTAGATACAACAATTTTATGAAGATATACAACCACGTTACATATGAGCCCCACCTTCTTCCAACAAATAGTCCTGATACATCAGTCACCTGCAACAACCACTTTGGTAGTTCCTTTCCTAATTATTTTTAGCGCACAATATATATCTTTCAATAACCGATAGCAAAAAAAAGCGGTAATTTGAAACCGATCTTTTTTCTACCGTTCTTTCGTCAAAAAAACAGTTAATTTTTTACCTCACGTTGTATTTCCAGTGCATCTTCCATGTGGCCGGCAATGGTCTGTACTGTTGCACCTCGAGCATCAGCATCCATCATTCGAGCGTCACAGGCCATTTGCGTCAGGTTTTGTACATCAATACCTTAATTTCAGCAACTCTGTTAAAATGCTCAATGAACCGCAAAATTTTTTCACGTAATAAATCTGTTATTTTTTTTTACCGCTATTACTGCTGTTGTCATTTTACTTATTATTTTTGGAACAGAATAATCTAACGAAAACAATAACCAATTATAATAAAGATGTCGATGATGGTGGTAATAACTGATATTGATCTAACCTGAATGCCAATGCAATAAGCCTCTCCATAATATGCAAGGAATGTAAAACATAAGTGCTTCAAGAGCTAGTACAAATGGTACCCATTGGTAATAACTGATATGCGTCATTTCATTTCTGTAAAGAAAAAAACAGGTTATTGTTTCTTCTATTTTTTCATGAATTGGTACTGGAAAACTTCTTTTGTAATAAGAAGAATAGCACCAATTTTTTAAAAATAAATTAATGCGATTGCTGATTTTTTCAGCATGAGACAATGTGGCAGCATTTATCAATTTACTGCATAGAAGTAAACTAACTGTTCTTTAATTTAATGTTAATTTTATTTGTAATGATGCTTCGGTTTTTTTTTTGATTTTGCCCTTTTCTACTTCCCTTTTAAATAGAAAAGTTTAAATTGTTGAGTTTGATTGAACTAGTCAAAAAAAAATCCATTAGCCAAATTTTTAATAATAATGACTCTTTTAGAGCCAAAAAAAAGTAGCCAGAGAAAAAAAGCAATAATATTGCAGTCTGCAAGAGAAGAATTCTCCTTCAATCTGAGTATTGTATGCTTCTAGTTTGTCGACTGTCGACTCTGATCAGCTGTTGAGAAATATTTCTTCAAGGAACACTAAAAGACAGTTTTCTAGTTTTCTAACGTTTCGTAGCGCAATTTACGTTGTTCATAACAAGTGGAAAATATTATTGCATATAAAAATATTTTTCAGTGCAGCAAAAACAAAAAGTGGCATAATAATTAATTACTGAGGGCAAAGCTGCAAGTAGAAAAATTAGGGCAACGGCAGATGGTGAATAAATAAATAAGTTTTCCCCTCAATCTTTCATTTTAAAAAACTTCATTTTTTCTTAGTAATTCCCTTGCACACTAAACAGCATATATTTGTCATCTACCATGTTACAGCTAACATGCGTCTCGCAAATTCTCTCTCGTAGCTAGTTCTCAAAAACATCATCTTCACACCTCTATTTTCTCTCTGAAACAGTTTAAAAAACCGAAGAAAAATTTTGAGGGAAAAAAGAATGAACTGATGAACATCTTACTGACAGTGAAACAACCGGTCTTATAATTTGTTCAATTTTTACTGCTCCTTGATTAAAGATAAAATCACAGAACAGTAGCGCCAAAGAAAACATAAACGAAACCGCGATAACAGAATTATTATTAAAGTATAATGCAAAACTACATTGAAACTTCTAGAAAATTATAAAGTTTTCTAGTGAATTACTACTATAAACACCATTACTGTCACTGACAATCAACAATGCATCTGATGTTGTTGTCAATGGCAACACTAAAGCTACCCAGAATACCAAACAGATAAGATCAAAATAAATGCTGATCATTAGAGAGCAAACTACTGTTTAAGTCCCCGCTATGCAGCAACAGTACGATCAAAATTTAGAAATATATTTTTTAAAAAACATGGAGAAAATAAATTCTTTATTTTTTTCATTTTTAGAATTATTTACATTTCATCTAAAATGAATTATTTCTCTTTTTTCTTCTCGCTAGTCAAATTAATCATCATGTTTACAAGAACTTTACAGCTTTAACACTACGTGGTTACCTTTTAAGAGCTCGGTCAATCTTTCACTTCATTCTTTTTCTTTTATTTCCTGTTTTTTATTATTTTTTTTGTTTGTACTTTTTCAAACGAAGTTGAAAAAAATTTCAAAATTTAGTTACTTTATTGGCAACACAGCACCAACAACATTTGTTGATGAATACTCTCATTTCCGGCTAACAGTTAGCAATTTCAGGATTTTCTATCGTCTCCATTTATGTTTGCAGGATTTCCCCTGACTAAAAACCAACAAAGCCTCTTCTATTAAACACTACTGAATAGTTTATACTTTGCAACGGCTATATACATGTATATAGCTATATTTATGTATATTATATATATATATATATATATATATAT